GGGAGATGCAGATCATTACTTTCATATAAGTTCTCTATTATTCTATTTTTTTTAAAGATTTTATTTATTTATTTGACAGAGAGACACACAGCGAGAGAGGGAACACAAGCAGGGGGAGTGGGAGAGGGAGAAGCAGGCTTCCCACCAAGCAGGGAGCCCGACATGGGACTCGATCCCAGGACTGGGATCATGACCTGAGCCGAAGGCAGATGCTTAACGACTGAGCCACCCAGGCGCCCTATTCTATTTTTTAACCATATGTATATTGCTTTGATAAAATTTCAAATTTACTACTTGAAATTTCTTCCTCTAAGGCGAAGTCCCCAGGTTCCTTTATGTAAGTGGATTCTCCACTGTTAGTCTCTATGTCTGACCTCTGTTTTCATCAAGGCACCTATTCCAATTTTAAATTACAGATTTATGTGTTTGCAGGTTATTATTTGTCTCATTCCCTAACTTCTAAGCTCCAAAGGGGCAGGTCCATGCCTGTTGTATTTACCAACATACACCAAATACCTAGCACACAGTAAGTATCGAGTATTTATTGGTTAAATTAGTGAATTATTAAATGGCTGGATTTTTAATTTCTACAACAAATGTGTATCACTGTTATAATACAGTAGAATATATACTGTTATAAAAAGAAAAATAATGTATTTTTAATATAAATATATAAATCAGTGGAATGTGGTATCCACATTCATGCTTGCTTAAATTTCTTTCCTGGTTCAGTCATTAGCAATTAAAGAAATACAATGCAATTTTCAAGGCTCATTTCACATTAATTGTATCAGGCTTTCTTATTTTCTAAGGTCTTATGCTCTTATTTTATACTTCCTTATAAATATTTTTGTAAAATCTAAAGATTTGTAGGGAAAATCGTGACACTAAGATTAAACCTTTCTGGGGCATCTCGGTGGCTCAGTCGGTTAAGTGTCCAACTCTTGATTTGGGCTCAGGTCATGATCTCAGGGTCCTGGTCCTCCACACTCAGTGGGGAGTCCGCTTGAGGATTCTCTCCCTCTCCCTCTGACCCCCACCCCTGCTCTCTCTGTCTCTGTCTCTCTCTCTCTAAAATAAAAATAAATAAATCTTTTAAAAAAAGATCAAACTTTCATATTTAGAAGTAACTCTATATGTGTATTGCTTTGAAATAAATGATTTGTTAATTTTCTATGTTTAGGAAAGATTAATTTTTGGTTTGTACAAAAATATATCTCACTCACTTCTCTGTTCTACTCTGTGTACTCCAATCTCCAGTGACACTAAATTGACCTAGGTTCATGGGGAGGATGACAGCTTTGTCAGCCTAGTGACCTTTGGAAACATCTCCCTCCCACCTATTCACTCCTCCCTTATAGAGTGAATGGTGAAAGCCAGTCTACAGTAAGATTTGTTTTTTTTTTTTTTAAGATTTTTATTTATTTTTTGAGAGAGATAGAGATAGAGAGAGAGCATGAGAGGGGGAGAGGTAGAGGGAGAAGCAGACTCCCCACTGAGCAGGGAGCCCTATGCGGGACTCGATCCTGGGACTCCAGGATCATGACCCTAGTGGAAGGCAGTCGCCCAAACAACTGAGCCACCCAGATGCCCTAGAGTAAGTTGGGGTTTTTTTTTTTTGTTTTTTTTTAATTCATGAGAGACAGAGAGAGAGAGAGAGAGAGAGAGGCAGAGGGAGAAGCAGGCTCCCAAGGAGCAGCGAGCCCGATGCGGGACTCGATCCCAGGACCCTGAGATCATGACCTGAGCCGAAGGCAGACGCTTAACCATCTGAGCCACCCAGGCGCCCATAAGGTTTTTTTTTATTATATTTCTTCAAATGTTGTTAATATTCACAAGGAGAAGATGCCTTAATTTTGGTTATAACTTTATAAATGTCCTTTTATTCACACCAAATTATGAGCAGGCGGTATCAAAGTACAAAAGAGACTGGTTTTGATTTTGCAGCAAGTATGCAAGGCCCCTCCAGTGTGATGATGGGCACACATTTACCATCTATACTGTATATCAAACCAAATAGCATATTCATCCGTTAACAAGAGCCACATTGTGTCATATTTTAAAGTTGAGCAGTAACATTATTTCCTTTGGAATTAACTGAAACTTAAGATTTACAATGGGCTGATGAGATTCAATTGCATAAAAGTAATATTTACAAAATTAATAGCAATTTAAGCTATCACAGTGTTTAAAGTTTATCCTTTTCTCAAAAAAACAAACAACTCCAACAAACAGAGAAAGACATGTATCATATGATCTCACTGATAGGAGGCATTCTTAATTGCAGGAAACAAACTGAGGGTTGCTGGAGTGGGGAGTGGGGTGGGAGGGATGGGGTGACTGGGTGATAGACACTGGGGAGGGTATGTGCTATGGTGAGCGCTGTGAATTGTGTGAGACTGTTGAATCACAGATCTGTACCTCTGAAACAAATAATGCAATATATGTTAAGAAAAAAAAAAGAAGGGGCGCCTGGGTGGCTCAGTTGGTTAAGCGACTGCCTTCCGCTCGGGTCATGATCCTGGAGTCCCGGGATCGAGTCCCGTATCGAGCTCCCTGCTCGGCGGGGAGTCTGCTTCTCCCTCTGACCCTCCTCCCTCTCATGCTCTCTGTCTCTCATTCTCTCTCTCTCAAATAAATAAATAAATAAATAAATAAATCTTTAAAAAAAAGAAGAAGAAGAAGAAGAAGAAGAAGAGGAAGAAGAAGAAGAAGAAGAAGAAGAAGAAGAAGAAGAAGAAGAGGAAGAAGAAGAAGAAAGAAGAAGAAGAAGGTAGCGGTAGGGGAAGAATGAAGCGGGGGAAATCGGAGGGGTAGACGAACCATGAGAGACGATGGACTCTGAAAAACAAACAGGGTTCTAGAGGGGAGGGGGGTGGGAGGATGGGTTAGCCTGGTGGTGGGTATTGAGGAGGGCACATTCTGCATGGAGCACTGGGTGTTATGCACAAACAATGAATCATGGAACACTTCATCTAAAACTAATGATGTAATGTATGGGGATTAACATAAGAATAAAAAATATAAATAAATAAATAAATAAATAAATAAATAAATAAATAAACAACTCCAAAAAAAGAAAAGGAAAAAGAAAAAATCTTAAAGCTACAGAATAATAAAGTTTGTAGTATCTACCACAAGGCCTCTGATTCTTGTAAGTATGGGGTTTTTTTTTAAGATTTTATTTATTTATTTGACAGAGAGAGAGCACAAGCAGGGGGAATGGCAGGCAGAGGGAGAGGGAGAAACAGGCTTCCCGCCAAGCAGGGAGCCCGATGCGGGGCTCCATCCCAGGACCCTGGTATCATGACCTGAGCTGAAGGCAGACACCTAACCAACTGAGCCACCCAGGCACCCCTCTTTTTTAAAAAATTTTTTATTGTTATGTTAATCACCATACATCATTAGTTTTTGATGTAGTGTTCCATGATTCATTGTTTGTGCATAACACCCAGTGCTCCATGCAGAATGTGCCCTCTTTAATACCCATCACCAGGCTAACCCATCCTCCCACCCCCCTCCCCTCTAGAACCCTCAGTTTGTTTTTCAGAGTCCATCGTCTCTCATGGTTCATCTCCCCCTCCGATTTCCCCCCCTTCATTCTTCCCCTCTTGCTATCTTCTTCTTTTTTTTTTTCTTAACATATATTGCATTATTTGTTTCAGAGGTACAGATCTGTGATTCAACAGTCTTGCACAATTCACAGTGCTCACCATAGCACATACCCTCCCCAATGTCTATCACCCAGCCACCCCATCCCTCCCACCCCACCCCCCACTCCAGCAACCCTCAGTTTGTTTCCTGTGATTAAGAATTCCTCCTATCAGTGAGGTCATATGATACATGTCTTTCTCTGATTGACTTATTTCTCTCAGCATAACACCCTCCAGTTCCAACCACGTCATTGCAAATGGCAAGCTCTCATTCCTTTTGATGGCTGCATAATATTCCATTATATATATATATAGCACATCTTCTTTATCCATTCATCTGTCGATGGACATCTTGGCTCTTTCCACAGTTTGGCTATTGTGGACATTGCTGCTATAAAGATCGGGGTGCATGTACCCCTTTGGATCCCTACATTTGTATCTTTGGGTTAAATACCCAGTAGTCCCAGGCACCCCTCTTATACGTATGTTTTTAGAGGGATTTAGACTGCAGGAGTTCCTGACTTCAGTGTAAGTAGAAACTACTGTTTGTTTCCCCCACAGCTTTGAGATTAATGGAAAAGAATTATTTGACTCGGGCACCAATCCCTTGACTTTCAGCACTAACCCAAAGGTCTCTCTCCTCTTTGTACTGGGAAAAAAAGGAGAGAGGCTGCCTGCTTGTTATTTGTCAGTGTCTTTCTGCCAGTTTTTTCTCAGGACAAGTTAAGGGTCTTTGTTGTTTTTGTTTTTTTCTGAACCTGAACTTCAGTAACTTTATATATATGCCGATGAAAAGAATTTTCAACTGTCCAGCGTACTTTTTAAGAGTCCATTTGTTAGACAAAATATGAGGAAATGTGGTCTATTTTATCACTTTTTTTTTGGTTTCTAAATACAGATAACAGTACATAGGACAAACTGGGGGAGCAGGTTCTGCCACTCTGCCCAGCTCACCTGTTATCTGATATCACCACTTAGATGGCAGAATGAGCGATGTGGTGTAATGGGGTTGGAAACTTGCCCACGCCGAGGCCACAGAAAGAAGTAGCTCTCATGTTGAGAACTGGGGAGGTTGGGACAAATCACTACTTGACATATGCCAGTCACATAATTTCACAACAGAGTACAAAAAGGAACCCCACACAAAAGGAAATAGAGAAAAAAAAGTCAAAGTGAAGGTACTATATAATGTATAAGTTTTTCTTAGAAGATCAACCCTAGAAATATGACATGAATGTGCACCACAGTTTTATCTATGGAATTCAAATGATAGTTTTACTTTTACCAAGATTTCCACACTTAGTTTCTGGTGCATGTGCACACACACACACTCCACACACACACATATACAAATACATATTATTTTTCAGGTGAAATATGCCATTTTCTTAAAACTTACGTTTTTTTTATCAACACAGTTTGCTTTTTGTGTGATTCTTCTGTTCAGACATATAAACTATATATAATTAATATAAACATATACCATAAATCTTACAAAATTATAGGAATGATCATTACAAACAAATGTGTTTAGCACCCATTTTGTAGATAGCCCATTGCCTCTGAGCATCTACATTTTTCTCTACTTTATTGCCCTAAAGCAAGTGTTTTGGCTATCTCTCCTAACTTTTTATTCTTCCAACCAGAATAAAAGTTTTCAACAGTAAGAAAATTAAGGGTCCTTCCAGGACCAGGGGAAGTTGAGTGATGTAAGGAAGCATTCACTCAGAAACCTGGCTTCTGGACCAATCTTTAAATAACTAGTGAGAAAGACCAGAAGTTCCCAATAATGCTTCTTATTATAGAAAATTACTTCATCTCTTAGAGCCTCCTTTTCCTTCTTATAAAAGTAGGGCATTATATAATTATAAAACAGCTAAGTGATTTCTAAGTCCTTTCCAGTTCTAAAGGTACATAATTCAAAGCTGCTAAAAATACTTTTTAAAAATTGATTGAGATTTATATATGTGTTTACACACACACACACACACGCACACTGTGAAAGGGGAGGGAATATACAGTATTTTATACCAAGACTTTACAGTACATCATTATGGAGACGTTTTTGCTCCTGAAAAATAAGTTTCAGGGTAGCATTCGCCCAGCAGGGGGAGCTCTTCTGAGAGTCCAGGTTCAGGAAACAGTTCCAGCTACTCCCACTTAGCCTCCAGGCGCTTCAGTCCGGATACAAGGCAGTGTTTGGGGGCACCACATCCTAGCTCAACTGGGGACCCAGCGGAATTTGTACCCCCCGTTGGCTGTCCTAATGGTGAAGGCATTGCCCTGGGGGAAAGCGAGGGTGCGGATGGTGCTATGGCTGCGGATGGGGGTGCTGAAGGAGCCGCCCTCTTCCAGCTCACTGTGGCTCAAGTTCAGCGCGCTCCGGCTGCAGTCTGTGCGCAGCCCCCGGAAGGTGCCGTGCAGGTTCCCCGGCATGCCTGCCTTGCTCGCGGGCTCCGGCTGTAGCCGCAGCCGCTTGGGGTCGCGGCTCTGCAGCGCTTCATCGCAGCGCTCGGAAATCTCCCTCAGGATGGCGTCCACTTCCGCGCAATCCTGCCCGGTAGCACTGAACAACTCCTCCAGGCTCCTTTTGGCTGTCGCCTTGAGCAGGAAGGGCTCGGCTGTCCTTCCGCAATCCCGGGACTGTGTGATCATCAGCTTCTACAAAAGATGGGGAGGAGCGCCAAGCTGGGGTCGGCTGGGCTCACCCTGCGCTGGGCGCGCAAAGCAGACCCGGGCGCCTTTTCGAACTCCGCGGGCTTAGACGCGGGCTGCAAGGGGCTCAGCAAGCTCTCAGCAGCCACCGCCGGTCTCCCAACCCCGCTGGGTCCCAATACTGGGAACAGGGTGGGGGCTGCACAGGAACATTTCCGACGTCCCGCAGTGTCCCACAGGCCCGCACCCCACTTACATCCAGCACCGAGGCCAGGTGCCGGGTCCGACTGGCAAGTTCCTTCAGTTGAACGTTCCGCTCTTTGAGCGAGGCGATCTCCTCCTGTTTCTGGGTCAGCGTCACGTGCAGCTGCAGGAGGAGACCCAAATATTAAGAGGTAGGCCACCGTGGTCGGTCTCATCTGTATACTCTGCATGAATTATACCAGGATCCTAACATCTAATCTGGGACTGGGGACCCAAGGGCACTTGCACTGGTGAGAATTATAATCACTTTTGTTTAGTTGTCCTTTGTTTTTACAAAGCACTTAGACAAAATGTATCTCAATCTTCAGTGTAGCGTGGTGGTGAAGAGTACGGACTTGGGCAACAAGCAGATACAGGTTCTGCCTCTGAAGTTCAATCTTCCTGTACCTCAGTTTCCTAACCTGTAAAATGGGGTAGTAAGGGTATCTTGTTCAGTGGTTGTATTAGAAGAAAAAGTAAATTGATAAGCACAATACCGGGTGTATAGGAAGCCTTCAGTAAATATTGGTGTCCCCTTTAAAAATCTGGTCGGGCAGGATCATTCCCGCTTACTGAGGTTGGAAACTGAGGAGAGCCACTGGAGCAATGGTAGCTACGAGAAGCATCCGCTCGTGCACTGGTTCTGACCTACACTGGGGCACATTCCCGCTCCTGCAACCCCCATTTCCGCCCAGAGCTCCATAACCTGTCCCCAACCCAGGATTCCTGGCGGCCAGCCGGGTGCCCCTACTTGGTTATTCTCAACGAGCGCGTCCCCCAGTGCCCTCTGGTTCTGGTCGGCCACCTCCTTCCAGTACTGCTCCGGCGGGGGCACGTCCGGAGGGCGCGGCGGCGGTGACTGCAGGGCCCTTGGGTCCAGCGGCGGAGAGAGACAGGGCCCAAATGGCAATACGTCGCAAGGAGAGAAGGGGAAGTCTCCGCCGGCCAGAGGAGGCGACATCAAAGAGGATGAGTCTGAGGAAGAGTGGGAGCTAGGTTTGCAGCCTCAGACTCGTGCCCAGCTAGCTACAGGGACAAAACGCCACGCCGGGTGTATTATGTGAAGACGTTAAGTAAAGCACCCCTCACTCTGCAATCCCTACTTTTCCCAGGCCCTTTCTGATCTTCTTCATACACAGCAGGCGCTCCATATATGCCTATTGAGTTGATCTGAATTCAGTCTCCACGGTGGCCAGGGCAAACCTGCCCGAAGTCCCCCAGGTCCGCCGTTCTGTACACTCCTGTCACCCAACATTTCCTTGACCACATCACAGCGTAGGGCTCCCTCTCCCAGAACTCACACCCGTAAACTGGGAAAGCGCTATAGATTTCAGCGATTCATCTTCTCCATTAGAAAGTGTGTTGTCCCATAAATATGAAAAAGCCTGACCCATTGACGAGTTACTGACGATGTTGACAGGTGCTGGGTTTACCACCTTCGCGACCACGAAATCGAATTCTGAACTAGTTTGATTTGCGGAGTGGGGGACACCCCCGCCTCCCTTTATTTAACTGCGAGGAGACTGCACTTGCCTGCAATGAGATCATCCACTGTGTCTCTGAAATCCTGCAGATCGAAGTCCGCTGCAGTTTGCAGAGAATGGTTCTGAAATAAACCAGAGGTGTAAGAGAGTTACTGTCAGGTCCAGCAGGCCTGAAACACTTCCCAGACCGACAGTCGCCCTCCCGGGCTTGGCAGCGGGTGTGCACGCACTGTCGCTCGCAACCGGGCCTCATACCTGAAAATCAAAGCCCCATCCCAGGCTTGGAACCCAGCAGGCTTGCACTGCCATGGTGAGGAGCGGCACTCGAAGCAGGGACCGGGTCCCCGAGGGTCCTGAAGGGCGCCGAAACCGTGCGGGGCTGTGTTTGAGGCGGGAGTCCTTCGGCGCTCAGCGTAGTGGCCCCACGCCTGGCAGCCGGCAGTCCCCGCGCCGCCTCACTGGACCGCCACCAGCCAACCAGTTGCCGCCGTGAGGCCCGAGGCGTCCCTCCAGGGCCCGCAGAACCTCAGGCTCAACTTACCTCCGCCCCGCCGAGGAGCTGTGCCCTAAGATAAGGGGGCGGGTGTGCCTGAACTCCGACTTCCCTTCCAAGACCTGAGGCTCTATATCCCGCCGAGACTCAGTCACAGCTAAACCACCTTCTCCCCATACAAGAAGGGAAAAGGTAGGCTATGATGAGGGGCAGGGATGCTCTGGAAAGTGCTTCTGTTCGGCCTGCAGCAAGGGTGACCCCTATTGCTCTTCCGTTTCTCAACAAGTCGGAGTTCACTTTCTCCCTACAGTGTGATGCTCCTCCTACATCTTGAGCTGGACACTCTCCTGGGTTCCCGCAATGTGCCTGGGTGTGTGAGGCAGGAGACAGTAGGAGGCTGACAGCCCCTTCTTATTCCCTTAATTCGTGGACATTGAGAGTGGACAAAATTAGCTCTTTTACACAGAGTCCCTATGCTAATTCTCACCCAATGTAGGAAGCACGCAGGACCCAGGAAGTGATTCCTCCCCCTTTGAAGAATCTGAAGCTCAGAGAAAGTGAATTGCCCAGTCATCCAACTCTGAAATGGAACTGGGGCTCCTGTCCTAGAATGATGGTGACTATTTCAATCTTCTTTCCTCCATACCTCATCGCCTCTAGCGTTGATCTCTTTTTTAAGAAAAGCCAGTCTTCCAATGAAGACAGCACTGGGGAAGAAGAAAGAAGTTTCTCAAGGCATATGGTGTGGGGGAATGCATCCAATATGCCCATTAGAAATATCTATTCTACTGATTCCACTATTGTTGATTGATTCCTTTGTGTTAATCATACTCATCTACCCGAAGCCCTTCTCTGCTATTCAAATATTGCCGAAAAGAGGAACATACTCTGACCCTAACCTTGAAGAAAGTACAAGGATCAGCTTTCCTCAAGGAGGAGAGCTTCAATCTGGGAGGCCTCAAGCACCAGTTGGGAAGTGAAGCTGTAAGGGTGAAAGGAGCTTAGAAAGGGCTGAGGCAAATCCTGAAGCACAAGTTGTGTCCTGGTTGAAGGAGCCAGAAACCAGACTGGTTTTCCAAGGGCTGAAATGTCTTCCTCTTAGTAGAGATTTGGCCAAAACCCTTACCATGAGGAGCCTTGAGGCCAAGTCAGGAACTGGGGCCCAGGAAATGCTTCTTCGTATGCTATCCCAGGTCTTTGGCTCATTCTGGACCTCAAACAAACACTTCTGGAGTGTTTCCGCCCTGTGTTCACCTTACCCAGCAGGAAGGAGGCTAGGAAATTTGACCTGAGTGTGCAATGGCCAGGGTCTTTCCAGGGGCTCTTCCTCTAGAGGGTGTCTCTCCCTCTCTACCAGCTCTCTCTCCCCCAGGAAAAGTCCTGGACCTCTTGGGCCATCAGGCATGAGCTCTGTGCTTGAAACTTTAAATCCTACCTTCCCAATTAGATAAAAATCTGGCATTTTTCCAAACCACAATGGCAGCCAAAAAAAAAAAAAAAAGGCTAATACAGAACATGATGTGAAATTTAAGTTCCGAATACTTAAGCAAAAATTCAACAAGAGCCTGGTTGGTTTTCATGACTTACAAAATAAACATGTTGGAGTTAAGATAGTGATTGGGCCTCTGGGTCAGTTGAAAGATGCTCAAGTATTGTCTTTCCTTATTTGAGCATCCAGATCTAAAAAGAAAAACAAAATGTCCTCTGCAGGGCAATGCCCACTCTCACCCCTTGCCTTACCACTCTCAGCTCTCTGTAGCTACCTACCCTGAGTCCATCTGGGCTCTAACCCAATTCTAGAGGCACTTAGGGGAAGCCTGGAAGGCTGTGTTCTACCACCAACCTCAGTTCTCAGAGGTGGTCATATCTTCTGGTGTTCAGTGCTGGACATTTCCCCCATGGAACCCGTGTCCCCAGGACCTGCTGCCAGGAAGCTGGAACTGGCACTCCTCCTGTAGGTTGCATCTAGCTAAGACCTCCTGTCCTTCTGGGCACTTCATGTCCCATCGATGAGCAAGGCAGGCTTCTGGCCTCCCACACACCAATGCTGGGAGGTTCCCTCATCAACTTGGGGAGTGTCAGCCGTGGCAAGTGTTAGAAGTGGGATGGGAGTAAGGAAATAAGTTTTTGAGGAAAAGAAAAAGTCAAATACCTCTTTGCCCCATGAGGGTAAGTGACATGAGCTTTTGGAGGGGGAGAAAATGACCTTTTTAAAGTGCCCCACTGCTGAAGAGCCATCTCTGCAGAGAGGAACGTTTGCTGTCGGATCTCTTCCAGAGTTCTTTGTCCTTCGTCCCTCTTCCCCTAAGTGTAAACTCTATTCGTCTTTCCCAGTCTTGATCGAGTAATTATCCGTCATTCTTCACACTCCTTAGATACCCAGGGAATGAAAATTGTTAGTGAATGGCCGGAAAGGGAATGTTGGGAGCACTGACAGGACATGTACCAGGTGCCCAGCGCTCCATTTTGTTCCCGCCTACTCGCCTGGGTCCTCAGTGCTCAATCTGCAGATTGCTTTGTCACAGCTCCAGGGAATAGATGGGGAGAACAGGGAACAGGAGACCCCGTACCTGGAGGCAAGTCCTCCAGGTGAGCCCCTCTGTCCCAAGTTGATCAGAACAGCTCTGAGAATGCGGCCGACGCAAAAGACTAGGCGGGAGGAAGAAGTTCCGATCCTCGGGGCTGAGATTCCGGCAAGTCTGCCCCCACTAGCTAAATCTGCCTGCGCTCCCGGCCTGAGATGAGCCTCTGCGGAAACCAGCCCTGGACTCCCGAGTCGGAATTTGGGCTGTCGGAGGCCGCCGGGCTTCAGGAGTTAAGGGGAGGTACCTGCGAGGCGGTCAAGTCACCACTAGGCGGCGCGTCGGACCCGAGTAGCGAGGAGCAGTCCGCGAGGTCCTGCAGGTCTATGGTGGTGAGCGCTGAGCGGGGAGAACCGGAGACACGCACGAGGCGGGCCCTGAGTCTCCCCGCCAGGGCTCGCCACTGGCATCCCCGCCAGGACATCCGAGCCCGGGGGAGAAATGTTCTTCTGGGCCGCGCGTGCCCTACCCACCCGGCGCGGGGAACCCGAGGGATCGCGCGGGAGCCAACCAGGCTCACCTGGCAGCGCAGCGGGCTCCGCGTCCGGGGGATCTTCGTACACCGACACTGGGCTGCTGCCGCTGCAACCAGGGAAGAACTTCCGCGGCGGGGCGAACTAGCCGGACACAGAAACGGTGAGCATGGGTCAGCCCACGGGACCCGGAGCGTGCGGACCCTGCCCGGCACCGGCCCGCGGCCCCACCTTCCTCTCCAGCTTCCCGGGCTTGACGAAAGGCCGGCCCCGCAGCTCCAGCATCCGGTTGGGGCAGATGCTGTCGAAGGCTCGGCGTCCCGCCGCGGCGCCTCCGCACGACTGCATCCTGCCTCCCCGCCCGCTTCGGCCCCGGAACGCGGTGCGGGTTATTCGGCAGCGGCGGCGGTGGCCGCGGCTGCAATAGCGACCCACAGTCAGCGCTCCGCCGGGCGCCTACACAGGCAGGCGCGTGGCCGGGTTGGAGGCGAGGGGCGGCTGTAGAGGTGCGGAGGGAGGGCCAGTGGAGAGGGAAGACTGCCGCGCGGGAGGGGCGGCTCGCGCCTGAGCGCCGGAGGTGGCGCCTTCAGCCCCGGACAATCTGCGCGCGGGCGGAGGCGTTAAACCCAACCTGGCAACGCGGCTTCCCCCGGGAGCAGCGAGCGCGGGACCTGGGCCCGCGAGCGCCCTTTTGGTGAGCGTTGGCGCCGCCGCCTCCCGGCAGCGCCTCAGAAAGGGAGGGTGGACGAGCCCCCAGTGGTCGCTAACACCGGGTACCGCCTTTCCGCTTTGGGACAGCAGGGATGGAAAAGTTAACGATTCTTATTTCATTTTCTTCCCACCCCAGCCATAAGGCACAAAATAAACGCGGAGTGACACTCGCCAAAGCCAGACTCCGGCATTTGACCGCCTTGTAGAATTTGGTGGGGATGTGGAATTCCCAAAACTACCCCCAGATTACAGAAGACCCTTCCCCCAAGGCTGGGGGCGCACTTCTGGCCTTGACTCACGGACTTGCCCTTGGTTTCTCTTGGCCTGATGCCTAGAGCCGAGCCCCGTACGCTAACCCCGCGCTTTCCCGGGCAGCGACGCCTGAGTGCAGCCTTTAAGAGAGAGTCATTTAAGAAAAAGCGACACCTACAAATTCTCCTCCCCGTTCGGAAAATGCCACACTGGACGGTCCCAAATCCCCTAAAGCCCCAGTCGCTTTCTCCCACGAAAGCCTCATTTGGCCACCGCAGCATTTGGCCACCCTGTACACAGCTGGCCTTGCTCGCTCGGCGGAAGTCTCCGCTGCCCTTCCCAAGACCAAGGCCTTTCCCAAGAAGGGACATCTCTAAATCCCTGGGTGAGGGGATCACTCAGACCACTCTTAGATCTATCGAATTTGAACGGTCATCTGAAATTACCTTTGGAACCTCCTATTGGGCACCTTGTTTGTGTCTTATACCAAGTAATAGTAACGAAAATCCTCTCTTAAAGAGGCATGATCCCTTTTTATTTCTCCCTGTTATCTGGATTAATAAAGACACCTCTTAACAGTGTTGGAGATGGTTCTACAATAGTAGAGCTAGAATAGACTTAGAGACTTTTTGACCTATCTATAAATGCAGGGACCTGGTTGGGGTGAGGGCAGGCAGCTAGAACTGGTGTGGTATCGCTGATGGTGAGGGGCTCTGGCTTCAGGGTCAGAGTACCTGAGGATTGGAACCAGGCTCCACCAGATCCGTGAGCCCCAGATCTTTAGGAAAAGCATAACACTGGGGCACCTAGCTGGCTCCAGTTAGTGGAGCATGTGACTTGATCTCAGGGTTGTGAGTTTGAGCCTCACGTTGGATGTGATTACTTTAAAAAAATAAAACTTTTTTTTTAAAAAAAGGAAAATCATAACACTGACTTCAATAGAGGTGCTATTGAAATGAGATTATGTAATGCAACTGGTGCTTGGTGTGGATAAGTTGATGTTTTTGATGTTGTTTTAAGGAGGCTTTTCAGCTGCTCCTCCAGCCTCCCACAACCTATTCTTGGCTTTGTTCTGATTCCTGAGTAGCCTAGTCACTAGCCAGTCCTCCATCCCTACCCATCTTCCCAGTCTGTAAGAGGAGGAGGGGAGCTCTTAGTTGAGTTTTGGGAAGATCTCTCACCTGCGACCATTCCTGATTTTACAGAATAGACTCATTTTTCCTCAGTGAGTTCCAAAGTGTAGAAAAATAGGGGCATCGTACATAAAAATGTGGCAGAAAGAGCTGGAATAGCATGAATATATGACTCCTATGACTCACATATGATTCTGCAACCAACTCACCCATATCCATCTTGGCTGAGTGATGGAGTAAATGCTGGTGAAAACAACTTCTCCCCAAAGTCACACTTCTGTAAAAGAGCCAGTGGCCCTACCCCCACCCTCAACAGTGGGTTTGAGGGCTCTAGATATTTGGGGACTTGGGTCAGAGGATACAACTTTTCCTTCTCCTTTTCATCATCACAGACCAGCTTCTTCTCAAACAGCTTTGGGATCACCACTTCCCTATCCCTGAGCCTAAGTCGAGAAAGTTCCTGGGGAGGTGAACATTAACATAAGGGGAGAGAAGGGATCTGAGGGGCTCAGAGTAAGTGGTCCTGGTGCTGGAGAGTACCTGGAGGGTGCTTGGGAAGAGAAGTACAAGGAAGATGCTCTAAATTTGGTTTGAGTTTGCTTGCTTTTCATTTATGCAAATTTGTCATACATTTAAACTGATCCTAAAGATAGAACATGACTGAGTTTGTTCCCCCAAAACTTAAGGGTTTTTTAATCTTTTTTTTTTAAAGATTTATTTATTTATTTTGACAGAGAGAGAGACAGCGAGAGAGGGAACACAAGCAGGGGAGAATGGAAGAGGGTGAAGCAGGCTTCCCACCGAGCAGAGAGCCCGATACGGGGCTCGATCCCAGAACCCTGGGATCATGACCCAAGCCGAAGGCAGACGCTTAACGACTGAGCCACCCAGGCGCCCCAAGGGTTTTTTAATCTTACAGAAAACTTGAAAAAAGTGCAATGAATAACAGTAGGTTCACTTACAATAGCTAACATTTTTTTCCATATTTGCCTTCTATTTCTTTCTCCAATTTTTTTTTCTGTGCTGCCACCAGTCTTCATTTCTTGAAAATTTGCTATATGCCAGGACTGTGTAGAGGGATTTGTATGGAACATCTCATGAAATCCATACCTCGGAGGCGCCTGGGTGGTGCAGTTGGTTAAGCATCCAGATGCTTGGTTTTGGCTGAGGTCATGAACTCAGGGTTGTGAGACAGAGCCCCGCATCAGGTTCTTCGCACTCAGTGCGGAGTCTGCTAAGAATTCTCTCTCCCTCTCTCTTTCCCCCTCTTTCTCCCTCCTCTCTCTCTAAATCTTAAAAATAAATCCATAACTCCATCCTACCAAATAGGTTATTGTTATTCCTAATTCTACAGAAGAGACTCCTGTGTAGAGATGAGACTTGCTCAAGCACTCCAGAGCCCACTTGTTTCATCACTATTTTATACTACCTCAGGATCTCACTTAGGCTTTACAACAGCACTATCAAGATTGTCAGGCTCAGAGAAGTGAAGACATTTGCTGGAGGTGACAGAAGTGAGATTCCTCTGGGTCTACAACAGACTCACCACAGTGAGAATGAAGGTGATGAGACAGCTGTGGAGTTAATTCCAGCAAGCCTCAGTCTTTCTAAGATTTTATTTGACAGAAAGAGAGAACACAAGCAGGGGGAGTGGCAGGCAGAAGCAGAAACAGGCTCCCCAAGGAGCAGGGAGCCCGACGCGAGACTCAATCCCAGGACCCTGGGATCATGACCTGAGCTGAAGGCAGACGCTTAAGCTTAACCCACTGAGCCACCCAGGCACCCTCAGTCTCACTTCTGGACTCCGTTTTCTCACCTGTGTCACGACTGGAGGCAGGGACTGTGCTGGCTCTCCAAATATGTTCTCTATAGTCTCTACTGAACGGAACACACTGAGTAGATAATTTGTCTCACACAAAACCCGCAGGAAGAGGGTTTTTAAAAAAGCACTTCCACAAACCTGTTAAGTGGGAGAAGTTGAGCGGTGTGGCTAAGGTTGTGGCTCTAGTCTCCGGATCACCTGCCTTCAAACCCTGATTGCTCTACTATTACCTACCCTCTCTGTGGTCCAGGGCCCTTCTCTGAAAAATGGGATAATAGAGTTGTTGGAGGATTGAGACAATGAACGCTGACCACAGTGCCTGGTACATTTAAGCACCCAATGATGGCCATGATTACTATTCCATTGTTCTCCCGGGCTCACATGCAGCAGGTGTAAGACAAGTGAACTGTTGAACCAAGTCATTGCAGGGTAAATGGGCTCTATTTATCATGGCCACAACAGCCTGCAAAGCCTTCATTTCCAACATCTGTTAGTTGTCAGAGTAGCCACTAGCTGTGGGTATGTGTGGTTCCCAGAGCTTCCCAGCTGGGCATCCTCGGTGTTCCCACCCCTCTAGACAGCATAGACTGCTGTGGGTTCTATTCAGGTTCACATCCCACCTTCCCTTTGGACCTCTGGGAATGAGCAGTCCTCAGCCTCATAAGAGGGTCATGGGATACAGGTCTACAAGTGACCCTCTCAGCGACTGGCATCTCAAAGGACCTAGTGTTCCCACATAGATATCCTAATTACAGAGTGGGAGCCAGGGAGGCAGGACCCCTCCGTCGTTACTACCTGTATTGCCCAGCTGCCCTCTCCTTCCCTCCCCGCAGACAACAGTAGCATCAGACAAACCAAAACTGATAGCCTGTTTATTGGGGAAAGCCTCGGGTCTCCCAGGTGCACTTAGCAAAATAAATAAACGAGGAGACGCTACTATCGTACACTATTTACAACCTGCAGGACGACCTCGGGACCAAGTGGGAGCCAGGAACCCCTCTTATGGGCCAAGACCGCACTCTTTCACAGCAATGGGAGAGGTCCGGCAGCCGGGCCGGGGTAGACAGGAAACCAAAGGTGTATTTCATTTCAATTTCGGCGACAGGCTGCACTTCTCGCGTATCTGGAAGGGCAGCATGTGAGTCAGGGAGGTCTCGTTTATGGCTACCAGTAGCTGCAGCTTGCCCAGGCAGTCCTGCAGTGCGGCCTCGGGGTGCCCGCCTAGGCTCAAGTCCACAGGGCGCGGGAGCTGTAGCATACGGTCGGCCAGCGCCAGGCAACAGATGGCCAGCAGGGAGGGAGTGTAGCTGGCGAAGGCATAGTCGGCCAGGCTCAGCTCCGCCAGCCCGCGCGCCAGGGCTTGAGCCTCCAGGGCTTCCGCGACCTCAGCCTGCCCGGCCTCCACACGCGCGTGCGTGAAATGCTCCAGGAAGAAGCTGATGGTTGGCGCGCCCAGGCTGAAGTGCAGTTTGTGCAGCACGATGCACTCGAGGTTGCAGAGTTGCTGCTGGGAGAAGGCACCGCAGCACAGGGCCAGGAGCTGCTTCACACGCGGCGGGTGCACCTCCACCTGCAACACAGGGGCGCTCAGCCCCCGCAGCGCGGCATCCAGGGCCAAGGCCCATCCCAGGGTCAAACCCGGGAGAAAACCAGGACTCCCCCCATCCCTTCCAGCGAGACAGCTGGGCCTTCGCCTCTCCGTTACTTCCACTTTAATCACCTGGGGTGTACTTCCAGCGCAGTTTCTCTAACTACTGTCCAGCTAAAAAAAGGTTTGAGAAATTTTAAATATTTCCCCCCCGGAGTCTAGAATAGCAGGGCTACAAAGAGCTGTTGGGATTTACTTTTGGGACTGACTTCTGCCTATTTCTTTAGGGGCCGGGTGAAAGGGCTGTTAGTAGGGAAGTGGGGGGAGCTATTGTGAAATTAAAGCTGTGGGATGTATACGTTTGCAAATGCATGGCAGAATGAATTCGGAGAGCCCAGCACTAAATCTTGTGCGCTGGAAAGCCTGGTGGTGGCCAGAGAGTGGCTGTCCCCCAGACCCCGCGTGGAGGTACCTGTTTGCAAGCGATGAGCAGGGACGTGACCCCAAGCAGCTGGAAGCAGTCTGCAGCCACAGGCGTGGTGGTAAGAAAGCGGTCCAGCGTGTTCACCGTCAGGCAGAGCGATTCGAAGGAGAGGTGGAACTGGCGGTGCACCGGGATCAGCCAGCTAAGCAGCTTACAGCGGGATTCCGCCGTGACCTGCGCGGAGGATCGTGGGAGGAGGACCCGTTGAGCCGCGGGCAAAGAGGGTCTGCAGAAGGAACCTACCAAGAAAACTCAGGGAGCCTCTCTGAAGGAAGGCACAAAAAGGAAAAACTTAAAAGCTCTGGAAACTGGGAAACACTGGGACGGCGCTGCTGCGCAAAGAGCAATGGTCTGGCAAGGAGCCGGAACCCTTGGATTCGTACCTGGCCCTGCGCCGCGTGTGTATACACATTACCTTGTAATCCTCTTGTCAATTCAGTGAGGGGAGAGGGCCACCACTTTGCAGATGAAGAAATAAGCTCAGAATTGTTAAATCACTTGCCCGGGGTCGGGAGGAGTCCTGACTCGAACCTAGAAACTGTCTTCACTCCTCCGCCTTCTACCGTGCTCCCGCTAACCAGTATGGAGACTTCGGGCAGGTCACTTAAGCCATCTAGGCCCCACTTTTCTCCATTTGTAAAATGAGGCTGGTGGCCCGGCCCTCTAAAGCCCCTTCCCGCTCGGACCGCGAACCTCCGTGCCCCGGGGCGCGTCGGAGCGCAGACGGAGCAGAAGAGGAAAGAGCCCGAGAGAGAAAGAGGAGCGGGGGTGGGGACCTCGCTCTCCCAACGCCTCACTTGTGGCTGCCGCGCCAGCGACTCCCGCGGGTGGAACTGGCTCTCCCGCGCCTTGCGGAAGACATAGCAGCTCTGACCGTAGTCACGGAAGGTCTGTAGATCTAGCTGCACCAACTGCTGGGCAGGAGCGGGTAGGGGGCTGCAGCCTAGCGCCGCGGATGCTGCAGGACTGTCTGCCCCATCAGACCCGGAGCTGGGGGACTCGAACACGTCGCAAACACCGGAGTCTCCAGGTACCGGGCACGGGTTCAGTGGCTGCAGCGGCTGTTTCCTCCGGAGGCGTGGACGCCTGCTCTTCTTCACCGGGGCGCGGAGGTTCTGGTCGTTGTCCCGCTTCCCAGACCGGGCGGCGGGACTCACGAGACTGGTGGGGCAGGGGGTCACCATGGTGCAGCCTGGTGGCCGCCCTACGACTCCTCGCCTGCGACAAACCGAAGGCGCGCTCCAGAGTACGAAGTAGGCTGCCCAGAGCCGCGGCGAAGCCCTAAGTACTCGGCGGGCGCCTTCCCCCTACCACACCCCCGGCTTCTCACTGGATGATTACTGAGCCGCACGAGGCCGCGCTTTCCCGGCCAAAGAACCGCTGGCGAGCAAGCTGCTGGCGGGGTGTAGCCTGCGCCGCCGGCAATGGAGAGGAGGAGCTACGCCCGGCTGAGCGCACCCGCCTTGCACTGCTGGTTCCGCGCGCGTCCCGCGTTCCCCAGGTAACGGAGACGGGGTTGCGGCGAGAGCTGCGCGCGCGGCCGGGGGTGGGGCGGCGGCTCGCGGGAGTGAGCGCCGAGTCCCGCGGAGGGGCGGGGCTGCTCCGGGGAAAAAAGATTCTCGCGGCCGCCATCTCCGCGTCCTGGTCCAGATAGTCTCGAAGTGCGATCGCCGTTCAGGCCGGCTATAATCCAGGTCGGTAATTTGGTAAAGATCAGTTTCCGACCTTTCAGGGCTCCAGCGAGAATTCTGTCAGTCCAGGAGTTTTCCTCGGTGACCCATACAAGCAATAATTCTAATTCGATTGCTTTTGTAATTTTTGTTTGAGGCAGGACCCTAGGTTCCAGTATCCCTCCTAGCGCTGGTCTCGGGCAGCAGAGCCTCCACAGGTTCTTCTGCGCTGTGTATCTGGGAGCTAGTCCAGCTCCCAGGCAGGCACTCGTGCGCGAAACAAAAGACTGCCCCGTGTCCCTCAGACAGCAGGTCTGAACTCCTGTAACCCTTGCTCCACACTTGCCCCACCAAACCAAGTAAACGGAGCGGTTTAAGGATATAACATGGTCGGAGCGTTGCATTGCTAGCTTGATCGAAGTGCTCAATCGGCCTCTTCTGTTTTAGGTCATTAGCTTCTAATCCTCTGCCACGGGTGGCTCACCCTTCCTTGGTTATTTCCTGCTCTCCGTTTCTGCTCCTTCAGAAGTTCACAAAAGTAGAGCTGGAGCGGGGGCGCCCAGGTAGGAGAGACTGGGCTGGACGAGGCAGTTTCCTCAGGACACTGCTGGTTTAGAACCTAGCCTCCCGCACTGGTAGAAGCTGGCGGCCTAAGCCTGAGTGAGTCTTCCTAAGGGGCACAAGTAGTATCTAGTCAGCCTTACAGGGAGGTCTCAGTGGCAGGAAACCCTCAGCCTGATGAACTTTCCAGAGGCACTCCCAGAAGTGAGCTTGTTAGGTGTCCCAAGAGCAGGTTCAACCATTCCCACCTGATTTCAGAAGAAAGCTGACAAATTTATGTCCTCAAATTGAAATCCCTGTCCCCAGAACTTTAGTTGGGTGTGGGGTGTTGTCTCTTAGAGATGCAGGAAAGAGAAAAGAGATGGATTTGGAGTTCTGGTCAGTTTTATTCCTATTTCCCTGTAACTCTAAGCAAGGTCTTTAGTCTTTAGACCTAAATAGTTTCGTTTGTCACTTGAGAGATTAGCTAAGAACCACCTGTCTTTCAAGATACAGGTGCCAGGACTTGCTGTCTCCTCAAGCTATTGTTGGGGAACCATTATGGGGTGAGCAGTGAAATCTGTGGAGAGGGGTCAGCTGTCAGACTTTTTCCTTGAGAAGCTTTCTGGATGAGGAGGAAGGACGTAGGAATCCCAATTCTTCTCATCGGCCCAGATGGCTGTGCAGGCCAGTGAAAAGAGCACAAAGTCAACTCCCAGGGTCAGAATTGTCACTCCCATTTATTGGTCATCATGGGCTGGCTGTTTACCTTCTTGGAGTCTCTGTTCCTCATTTGTTAAAAGTGGTTATTAATACTTGCCTTGAGGACCAAGTGAAATATGTCAAAAGCTCAAAGTCCTTTTTAAATATAAAACAGGGGGTTACATTAAAGCCTCCGTTGGGAAGTCAATATTCTCACCCTGGAGATATTCTGAAAAAGCAGAAAGATCATTTTATCCACCAGTGGATGTGAGGCTAGTGTCTGTAGTTAGAGTTAACTCCCAACAGAGGGTGCCTGAGCTTTGTACTGATGGGTCTACACCTCGGTATTTGTGGTATGCCTGCCATGCCTGGTCCAAGACTGTGATCAAGGCTGCATGGGTCCTGGGGCTCCTGGCTGGCTTAGTCAGCGGTGCGTGAGACTCTTGATCCTGGGGGTTGTAAGTTCCAGCCCCGGGTGGGCTGTATAGCTTACTTAAAAAAAAAAAAACAACACTTTTTTTTTTTAAGATTTTATTTATTTGACAGTGAGAGAGGGAACACAAGCAGGGGGAGTGGGAGAGGGAGAAGCAGCCTTCTCGCTGAGCAGAGAGCCTGATTCCAGGCTCCATCTCAGGACCCTGGGATCATGACCTGAGCTGAGGGCAGATGCTTAACTGACTGAGCCACCCAGGCTGCCACCCCCCAAAGAAAACCTTAAAGAAAAAAAAAAAAGAACAGGCTGCGTGGGTCTTTCCCTCATAGAGCTGACACTCTACTGGGGGAAGTGAAGAACCATGTGACACATTTTAAAAATGATTATGATAGAGGATCTCCTGACTAAAATATAGGATACCCAGTTAAACAACTGTCAGATAAATTTTAGCATGAGTATGTGTCAAATATTGCATGGGACATTGCAGTACCTTGTATGTACATTAAATGTTTAGACTTTACCTTAAGCCATTGAAGACTTACCAAATAGAATCTGTCTTTTGTTTTAAAAGATTATTCTGGCTGATGTGTGAAAAATGGATTGTAGGGGACAAGAATGGAGGCCATTTAGGTGCAGTATTTGTGGTATGAACAATACAGTGCAAGTTAAGGCCGTCTTATTTTCCCTATGAAGGGTCTTTAAAGTTAATTTCTCTTTTCTAATCTCTCTGGGACCTGGGTTGCAGTGCCCCTTTAAGGCACTAGGTAAATCTAAAATACTTTAAAGGTGTAGAACCTAATTAAACCCAGGCATCTGTAATGAAAGCTGCTTAACCATGATTTGACCCTGCTTATTTTCAGGTGTGATTTTTGAAATCTGCAGGATGAGTAATGGAACTGAAGTTATCTTGTTTTTCTTTCCAGTCTGGCACTCAAGCTTCAGTCAAAAGCTCTCACCGTCACCCTGTCCCAACTCTTGGACTCTGATTGAAGTAGGAAGAATACATTTGCTAACAGTACCTTGTTTAGCAGAGTAAGTGCGTTGGACTTGGTACCTAGGAGTGGACAGCTTTGTTAGTACCTCAAATGATCCTTAAGCTCACTTTTGATTTTAAGTCACTAAAATTTATATCTGTCACTAAAAATTGTATTTACTTAAGACTATTTTCTATTAATTTATTTAAGTGCCCAGATTGAGAAGTATTTAATGTAAAGTCTGACAAGTTTTTCTGGTATTTAGTAAAGAGCAGGAATTTTCTTTATTCTTTTTTTTTCTTTTAAGGATTTTATTTATTTATTTGAGAGAGAGAGAGAGAGAGAGAGAGCATGAGTGGAGAGAAGGAGCGGCAGACTCCCTGCTGAGCAGGGAGCCTGATGCTGGGCTCCATCCCAGGACCCTGGGATCATGACCTGAGCTGAAGGCAGACACTTAACCGACTGAGGCACCCAGGCGCCCCAAGAGGAGGAATTTTCAACACAGTTTTTAACGCCAGACATTTGACTTGCACATCTAAATGTTCACTAGTATCAGCACCTGGGGGAAAGGCCATCTCTTGGTTACCTGCCTTTCTGCTGCTTTGCCACTTGCCAGTTCACCAAGAGCTCAGTGCACACACTCAAGTGCATTGCTGCTTCCCTCATGCACACATGTGCTTTTTCTCCCGACTCACACCCACCAGTGGCATTCTGTCTGGCACAGGTGGTACCATGTAGTGGTGATGAGCTTCCGCTCTGGAGTCACCTCCTGGATCCTCATCCCAGCTCTGCAGCACACAAGCTCTGCAAACTTGGGCAAGTTACTCAGTTTTTTTATTCCTCTGTTTCCCTAGCTGTTAAAAAAATGGGGTGATAAGAGTCTCCTGTAAAACTGTGAGGATTAAATAAGGCACATAGTGTATGCATGCGTGCTCAGTATGAGTTAGCTACTGCTCCAATTATGTTTTTCTCTAGCTAAGGTATGTGTCTTTCTGCTAACCAGTGTGGCTAAAATAGTACCTGCTCTAATTTTGCGGATCGACATACATATATGATCAGAATTGGACATTGAGAAGAAGTCAAAGAGTAGTAAGCACAGTAGCATTATGCCTGAGGCCAGTCCAGTCCCCAGCTCTTCTGAAATATGGGAGACTAAGTGACCTGTTTCAGTGAGCCTTGAAAGAATTTCTTCAAACCATGATGATAGCCTAATGCTCTCTTTGCTGCTTTCCCTTTAGGTGGTAGAATTGCCCATGTAGATCAGGGGTGTCAGGAGGGAGCAGTTCTCATAATAATGAGAACTCAAAACAAAAATGCAAGCTAAAACTATCATGAGATACTATCTTGTACGTAATCTGATTGATAAAAGTTCATACTTTTGATAAGAGGATGCAGGGAAATAGGCCTCCTGTGTTTTTGGTGACAGTGTAAGTTGGTACAGCTGTTTTGGAAGATAATTTGGCAAGATTTATAAACATTTAAAATGAACATAATCTTTAACTCAGCATTTCTAATCCTGGATAATTATTCCGTATCAATGCAAATTTACTTTATAAAAAGGTATTTATCACAGTAGCCATATTAAAAGCAAAACATGGATTGTCCTAAAAAAAGGGCATCTAAAACAGAATATTATGTGGCCACTAAAAAGAATGAGGCAGATGTTTATGGACTGATGTGGAAGGATTTTCAAAATACCGTGCTAAACAAAATAAAGCGAGGTGCAAAGCACTATGTCAAATATGTTGTCACTGTGTAAAAAAAAAAAGAATACATACTACATACATATATCCTTATATATGCATAGAATCTCCCTGGAAAGATAGGCAAGAAACTGGTAACAGGTTGCCATTGGGAAGAAGATGTGGGAGACAGAAATAGAGAGGGAGGGACTTCCTATTGTACTTTCATTGACTTTTTGAATTTTGAACTCTATGTATGTGTTACCTCTTTTTAAAAATAGCATTTTTCATATGCAGAGGGTTGAAAGCTAGAAAACAAGGAACCCCGGTAAGTCCTGAAAAATGGTGATTGCTATTACATGTGGACATCAGATGGAGTGGTTGGAATAGGACAGGATCTGATCTGTTGTTTTGGAAGTTGGATTATATCAGTGAACAGAACAAACGGCCCTGTCTTCGCAGAGCTTCTCTGGGGTGTGGCAGTGCAGGGAGAGAGAGGATAGAGGGACTGGGACGCTGGGAGTGCCGGAGGCAGGCTGCGTTATTTAATATGTTGGTCAGATAAAGCTCACAGAGAAGATTGGGGCAGAGAACTCGAGGAGGTGGGGGAGTTGGCCATATGGGCATCTGGGGGAAAAGCATCCTAGCCAGACAAAATAGCAGTGCAAAGGCCCTGAGGCATGAACAGGTCTGCCCTGTGGAGGAAGAGCAAGGAGGCCAGTGTGGCTGGAGTAGGAGTGAAAAGGAGAGCAGCTGATGACGTCAGAGAGGTAATGGGGCCAGATCACATAGGGCCTTGTTATTGCTAGCAGTCATATGTCGTAAGACTTCTTATGCTTTGTTACGGTGCACTTTTATTTATTGTAGCATTTAACCATCACCTCAACCATGTGAGATAGGCACAGTTATTGTCCCCATTTTACAAAATGAGAGAATCTTCAGCAAGGATAAGGAGCTTGCTTGAAAATACACAGCTAGGGGCGCCTGGGTGGCTCAGATGGTTAAGCGTCTGCCTTCGGCTCAGGTCATGATCCCAGCGTCCTGGGATCGAGCCCCGCATCGAGCCCCGCATCATCGAGCCCCGCATCGGGCTTCCTGCTCAGCGGGGAGCCTGCTTCTCCCTCTCCCTCTGCCTCTCTCCCTGCTCATGCTCTCTCCCTCTCTCTCTCTCTCTCTCTCTGTATCTCTGTGTCTCAAATGAGTAAATAAAAATATCTTAAAAAAAAAAAATACACAGCTAGTAAGTGGAAAACTAGGACTTAAACCCAAGGCTGTGATTCTAGTCTGGACATTCATCCCTATGCTGTTCTGTGTTTCCTAAATGTTAAGAGAGAACCAAGAAAAGGCTTTGAGTCCACCCTTGGGCCACTGCTTAGAGAGGAGAGTAAAGCTGAGGGGATAGAGCTGGTTGAACTTTCTTAGAAAAACCTTGGAGGCTCTGTGGTGTAGTTTCGCAAGGCAGGCAGACTTCCCTGCCCCGAGTATGTGCCAGGAGGTACAAGCTGAGCTAGAATTGGGAGTGGGGAAAAGAAGTACGGCTTCGAGGCTAAAGGAAGTGTGAAGCCATTTGGAGTGTGATGACCACAGACTATGTCTAATTTCTATGAACCAGCCTCCTCTTGGGAGATGATTACATGAGAAAGTGACAGTTTCTCACAAAGAGCACAAGTTTCAGTTGTCTGGAGAGGGCAAGTTCGGTTATCTGGTAGCCTTGCTGGGAGTGCAGAGAAGGTCTCAGAAAGCAGAGGGGCCTGAAGAGTGAGGGAAACTGGTGGCTTTGTACTTAAGTAGTGACTGATAGGCTGTTCAAAAGTTCAGCTTTCCAGGCACTTGGGTGGCTCAGTCGGTTAAGCATCTGACTCTTGATTTTGGCTCAGGTCCTGATCTCCAGGTTGTGAGATGGAGCCCCCTGTCATGCTCCCCAGTCAGCGGGGAGTCTGCTTGGGTTTCTCTCACTCCCTCTGTCCCTCCCCTCCCCCTGTACTAGCTCGCTCTCTCGAATAAATCTTAAAAAAAATAAATTCAGCTTTCGTTCCACCTCCCGTTCTTGGTGTGAACATAATATCAAATGAAGTAGTAAATCTAAGACAAACCAGCAATGGAAGATTTCTAAAAAAGATCTCCTGTTACTAGACTATAACTGTACGGAGATAATGTAGTTGTCTGTCTCTGTTCTTCCACAGCCAGGTGCCTTCTGAGTGCTGGGCCTCGCTCTAGGTTCGCAGCAGAGGGAAGGACACACAAGGCCCCTGCTTGCATGGAATGGGGAGGGGAGAGGCTGAACACAAAACAGTAAACAAAATATAAACGTTTTCAGACCATACATAGTAAGTTCTGCACAGAGATTTGTGTGTGCAGGCCTAGAGTGTGGATGGATGGGGACTTTAAATTGGATGGTCAGGAATGCCCCTTTGAAGAGCTGTTCCCCTGTACTGCTTGTGTTCACAAGTGAAAATAAGTCTTTTTCTTTTATTGTTGTGCAAATCCATTCCCTAAGCGGGATTTCTCATAATACTGCTTACATTGATATATCATTGTTTGGGGAGCAGTATTTTCTGGTGGGGAGGGACTCCTACAAAGGTTTAGATTATAATAGTTAAATGCTCCTAACGTAGTTTTCCTGAGGTGATTTGTGAAGAAGTGAGCGAGGTAGCCCCACTGTACACAATGCATTTTTCCCAACCAAATGAAAGATAAATCTCCTACATCTCTGTGTTTGTTGTTGTTGCTTTTATTATTTTAAATGATGAGGCTGCAGCCTGCAGAAAGGTCTTCTTATGCCCCCGTGGGGCATCCTCTGTCATAATAACCTCAGGCTTCTCTGTTAAACAGGGGAGATCTACCCTGTCTTTTCTTTCTCTACCACACAGGAAACAAAGAGGGCAGCCATTAGTATCTTCAGACTATGGTAAAATAACCCCGTCCCAAATGTAAAGCAAAGCTGGTCCTATTGAAAAACAACAAAGGGAAAAGCTGAAGGGCACAGTACGTAATGCACCTGCTTGAATGTCAAATCACAGGGTGCGGATCAAAACAGAGCAGCTGTTGAGGGCTGCCTAGTCATATGTTTCTTAGAATTTATGAGAAAAGACACCAAGGGCCTGCAGTTAACAAAAGCTCTTAGCAAGTAGCAGGGTAGGTTGCCCTGTTGAGAGGCAGGATCCACTCTCTAGGAGTGTTCAGCTATGTAGATTTGAAATGAATGGATGCTGTGGCTGGATTTTTTTTTTCTTTTTTTTCTTTCCATGTGGCAAGTCTGGATGGTAAAGTTGTATCCTTCAGGAACAATGTTCCCTGGTACTTGGGAGAGACGGACAACTGTTCAGTTTTCCTCAGCATTATAACCCACATTTCTGTATTACTATTATATCTGCTGTTTCTCTTTCAGCTTGGAGGAATATATGTGTGAACCACTTAGGAAGCATCTGTTTTGTTCCAGACTTTGTGCTCTTCTGTATTCTAGATTGTAACATTAACTTTTAACTCAAAGACCAATTGCAGGTTTTATTTTCGGTGAAATGCACAAAACAATTTTAACAGGGAACTGTGAAAAATATTTTCACCAAAGTTAAACATTTAGAGAATGTGCCTGACTTACTTTGGTGATGTACAATCACTCTAAAATACGTAGTCCTTCTGGGAAGAGCAATGACAGTCGAATGCACCCCTTGTTCCAAAATAGCAATCAGAATACTCACTGTAAGAATACATTTCATCAATCAGTGTTCATTCAGTGTCTACCCTGCGCCTAGCCCATTGACTTTTTCATCAGTGACATTTATTGTATATTCCTGATTAGAAAATTAATCCCAGTTTGTTCCAATAAAATTAGAAAAAAAATTTTTTTTTAAGATTTATTTATTTATTTTTGAGAGATCAAGAGAGGGCGACAAGGGGAGGGACAGAGGAAGAGGGAGAGAGAGAATCCTCAAGCAGATTTCCCACTGAGCGCAGAGCCCGAGACACAGGTTTCTTTCTCAGGATCCTGAGATTGTGACCTGAGCAGAAATTAAGAGTCAGCTGCTTAACCGACTGAGCCACCCAGGAGCCCCCAAATAGAAATTTTTTATATTGAATAGAGAATTTTAGAGAATATTTTAGAGAAATAGAGAAAAAAATTTCCTGTTTTTAAAATAGGAAACACTAACATTGTGGTATGTACTCTTTCGGTACCTATGTTTATATTTAAACACACAACATATATATATATATATATACATATATATATATAGCCAGGTGGGGAGGAGAGAGGGCACGCACAACCAAGCTGAATAAGACTTGCTTATAGTAACTTTCAGCAGACGGTGGTTTGAAGCAAATTAATAATTCCATTGTGCAATTAAATATACATTGTGCATGTGTATCCCCACCAGTCTCCAAATTCTGTCTTCTACATAGCAATTAAGTAGGTGATAAAAATAAATTATCCCCTCTCTGGCATTTTGGAAGAGTGCAGGCAGTTTGACTTAGAATTCTTTATCTTAAAATGACTGGTTCTAAGTCAAAATCAGTACAACCTTTTGGTTTACCAAAGTGGGTTAGGAAAGAGAAAACATAGTGGATCAACATGCGCAGCCAGCCCTGATTCTTTCTGGCCTTCGCTTCACACACAGTCTGGGCACTGCACTTTGGGCCACAGCTACCTCACTCACCTTTTCTCTTTTGTTTTCTGGAGGCTAGGCTAAGCTCTTTTACAAGCAGCTTTTCTCAGTAACAGAGTGAAAAAAGAAATGTCCAAAGAACCGCTATTTGAAAACTGGGAACACATGCTTTTACTAGGCACTGATGCTTTTTTTTTATAAATTCTAGGCTAGAAGCAATGTCCACAATAGCCAAACTGTGGAAAGAGCCAAGATGTCCATCGACAGATGAATGGATAAAGAAGAGGTGGTATATATATACAATGGAATATTATGCAGCCATCAAAAGGAATGAGATCTTGCCATTTGCAACGACGTGGATGGAACTGGAGGGTATATGTTGAGTGAAATAAGTCAAACAGAGAAAGACACGTATCATATGATCTCACTGATATGAGGAATTCTTAATCTCAGAAAACAAACTGAGGGTTGCTGGAGTGGTGGGGGGTTGGAGGGATGGGGTGGCTGGGTGATAGACATTGGGGAGGGTATGTGCTCTGGTAAGCGCTGTGAATTGTGCAAGACTGTTGAATCTCAGATCTGTACCTCTGAAACAAATAATGCAATATATGTTAAAAAAAAAAAAAAGAAGAAGAAGGTAGCGGGAGGGGAAGAATGAAGCGGGGGAAATCGGAGGGGTAGACGAACCATGAGAGACGATGGACTCTGAAAAACAAACTGAGGGTTCTAGAGGGGAGGGGTGGTGGGAGGATGGGTTAGCCTGGTGGTGGGTATTGAGGAGGGCACATTCTGCATGGAGCACTGGGTGTTATGCACAAACAATGAATCATGGAACACTTCATCTAAAACTAATGATGTAATGTATGGGGATTAACATAAGAATAAAATAAAATAAAATAAAAAATTCTAGGCTAGAGTTCTACTAATAGCTAGTTTGACTTTGTTCTGGCCTCACTGTCCCTAGATCAAGTATCCTAGTCATTTGAGGTCTCTCTGCTAGAATGAATTTCACTGGTTAGGCAGGTACCCTACTCATTACCACAATTATATAGCAATTCCTTTTCTGTATGTTCTCAGAGATTCTTAACCTGAGCTTCAGGCTGCCCAAACCTAATTTTAAAATCTCTTTCTTCATCCCTTCTAGAAGTTCTTAAGGCTATCATCCCATAAGCCCTGCCCCTATCCTGGCCCTGTTTTTCTTAGTCTCAGTTAGTTTGTCCAAACTAAAGCATACTTCCTAGCTAGTTCTTAAGGTTGGCACTTCGGTGAAGTTGTCTTCTGCACCTGTGAGTCTAGCTTTACACTAGATTGGTCTCCCTAGTGTCCAAGTGGCATGTTTGACAGGGCTCTCTTCACTGGAATGTGCCTCTTAGGTGAGTCAGCTGAAAATACTTTATCTGTTTTGGGGGTTTTTTGAAATTTATTTATTTTAACTGATTTCTATACCCAGTGTGGGGCTTGAACTCATGATGCCAAGATCAAGAGTTCTGTGCTCTGCCAACTGTGCCAGCCAGACACCCCACTTTATCTGTTTTTGTTTCAAATTCTTGCCTCCCTGGTGGATTTCTCATCAGGTTCTGGTTTCTTGGACAAAAAATACAATTTTCTCACCCCAGGTCCCAGTGAAAGGTCACATCTTTCTTAGTGTATTCATCTTCTTTTTCATTTGGGTAATTCATTATGATTCTCCCAGAGGAGTCACCTCTTCCCAGCATCTCATCACAGTTTTGCTTTGGTCAGATACTTGAAGGAGATAGTAGGAACAGATTCATCTACAGGTGAACTAGTTATTGGAGTTAGTAGACAAGGACTTTAAAATAATTATTTTAGGGGCGCTTGGGTGGTTTAGTCAGTTAAGCATCTGAGTCTTGATTTTGGCTCAGGTCGTGATCTCAGGGTCATGAGATCAAGCCCTGTGTCGAGCTCTGCATTCAGCACAGAGTCTGCTTGAGATTCTCTCTTTCCTCTTCCTCTGCTCCTCCCCTGACTCATGCTTTCTCTAAAAATAAGCAAAGAAAGAAAATATTTTTTTAAAAGATAATTATCTTAAGTTTGCTAAGGAAAACAGAGGAATGAATAAAATGGGCAAAAGAGAATTTTTGGGGGGCACCTGGGTGGCTCAATCGGTTAAGCATCCAACTCTTGGTTTCAGCTTAGGTCATGATCTCCGGATCATGAGATCACATGCTGGGTCAGGCTCCCTGCTCAGCCTGGAGTCTGCTTGGGATTCTCTCCTGCTCCCTCTGCCCCTCCCTGCCCGCTCATGTGCTCTCTCTTAAAAAAAACTTTTTGGGGGTGCCTGGGTGGCTCAGTTGGTTAAGCGTCTGCCTTTGGCTTGGGTCATGATCCCAGAGACCTAGGATTGAGCCCTGTATGGGGTTCCCTGTTAGCGGGGTGTCTGCTTCTCCCTCTGCTTGTGCTCTCTTTCTCTCTCTCTCTTCATTTTACTTAAATGAATAATAAATCTTTAAATAAATAAATAATAAATAAATCTTTAAAAAAAATTTTATCAGACAGTTGGAATCTATAAAAATAAAATGAGCATATTATAATTGAAAAATATCTAAAACTACAGTAATTGAATGACTTTAACAGCAGTTGGAATATAAGAAAAGATAGGATTAGAGGTGCCTGGGTGGCTCAGTCGTTAAGCATCTGCCTTCGGCTCAGGTCATGATCCCGGGTTCCTGGGATCGAGCCCCGCATCTGGCTCCTTGCTTGGCAGGAGGCCTGCTTCTCCCTCTCCCACTTCCCCTGCTTGTGTTCTTGCTCTTGCTATCTCTCTCTCTCTGTCAAATAAATAAATAAAATCTTAAAAAAAAAAAAAGATTAGTGAGCTTGGAGACAGTTCATTAGAAACTACCCAAACTGAATCACAGATAAAAAATATTGACAGGGGGAAGCACAGAACATAAAATAACATGTAGGGTACAGAGAGTCTAACATGATGTGGGAAACAAAGGCAGAAGAAAAATTATTAAATTTCCTTACTACCTAGAGCCCATTGACAAGTCCTTGAAACAAGCAGAGAGACATTTCTCTAGGGACTCATCTGCCTCAATGTTAATACTTTGCTAAGGGCAAAAGGCAATCCTAGCCTGACCCCTGCCTTCCCCCCCCCCACCCCCACCCAACCTGGATCCTGTAAGTCCACTTTAACGTATAAAAATTCCTTTGGAAACTTCCTTTAACTCTAAACCCCCAAGATATGTGTTGACAATCATCCCCCAAACATATGGCCCACTGATATACATCTGAAGGGTCTCATGACTAAGGTTTTATTGGACAGTAATAAATGATCTGTTCCCAACAATAGCTAGCCCTCTCAAGGTCCTGGAAACCTTGCTTCCAAAATTCCTTAGAGACTTACGCTATCCCTAACCCCCTCCCAACTTGAGGGTATATAATGGGCCATTCCTCATGACCCCGGTGAAGCTCCTTCTGTTCACGGGTCCTGTCCCCGTGCTTTAATAAAATCACCTTTTTGCACCACAGACATCTCAAGAATTCTTTCTTGGCCGTCGGCTTCGAACCCTAATGTCTTTACTACGTCATAACATAAGTGAAGTTGGGATTCTAGGAGGAGAGGAGAGAGAGAATGGTTATGAGGCATTACTTATAGAGATGATGCTTGAGAAGTTACCAAACTGATAGAAAAAGTTAACAGGTTCCAGAAGCTCAGTGAACCTCAAGGAGGATCTGTATGTGTTAATAACAACAACAAACAACTCTAAGCACATCATAGTCACACTGCTTATGTCCAACAATCAAGAGAAAAATCATAAAAGTAGAAATCTATGTGTGGGGGGCGCCTGGGTGGCTCAGATGGTTGAGCGTCTGCCTTCAGCTCAGGTCATGATCCCGGGGTCCTGGGATCGAGTCCTACGTCGGGCTCCCAGCTCAGCGGGGAGCCTGCTTCTCCCTCTGACCCTCTCCCCTCTCATGCTGTTTCTCTCTCGCTCGCTCTCTAAAAAATAAATAAAATCTTTAAAAAAAAAAAAAAGAAATCTATGTGTGGGAATGGAAGACATATTACCCTTCAAAAGAGCAAGAATAAGATTTTGGCTGACTTTTTAGTAGAACTCATGAAAGCCAAAGTACAATGGAATGGCATCTTCAAAGTGCTGAAAGAAAAAGCAAAAATTGCAAACCTAGAATTCTATATCCTGTTGAAGATACCACTAAAAAAGTGAAGGTGAAATAAAGATGTTTTCAGCCCAAAGCAGAGGGAATTCATCAGCAGCACTGTACTATAAAAAATATTAGCAATTGTAATAATAATGTTTTGGTGTTTATTATGGATGTAGAAGTGAAATACGTGAGAACATATTTAACACAAAGGGTGTGAGAGAGTAAAATAAAGTTAAATGTTGCAAATATTGTCTTATTTGCAACCATGGGATTTTAATTTATGGAGGTAACTGAGAGACCACACAGAGAGTCCGGTGCCATTGGAAGATTTATTACATTTCCTGAGAGAAAGGGACACAGCATGCCATGCAAGTCCACATGGGGAGCACCAGGTTTCTGTCAGGAGGCAGAAGCAGGAATGAGGGGAAAGCCTAGGTCAGAGACTTTATTGGGGTTTCCATGGGAAAGGCAAGGCAGGGCCAAGTAAACAGTTTAGAGTTGGCTCCTTTGAATAATTCCAGGGGGCGATGGGCTATAGGGGTGGTCTCCAGTTGCCTGGTACCTGACCCCTGGGATGATTTAGGACAGAGGACATTTAGCTTGATGTGTGAGAGTTAGATAAAAGGGGTCCTTGGTATAAACTCAGGATTGGTTTATTTGCATATGAAAGGGGTGATCCGGCTAAGCCCCTTTCTATGGCCAAGAATTGGCCAGCCTTGGGAGGTGCACTCTCTCCTTGGTTGACAAGGGTTTTAAGTTGTCAAAACATCACAATATTCAGAAAATAGAAAACATGGTTAATAATTAATATTAATAAACAATAATCATGTATTGCTCAGGAAGCGGTGTTATAGTTTAAGATAGAATGTAGGAGGGTGAGGATGCATACTTAATATCTAGAGATGTGTTGTCCAGTATAGTAGCTACTAGTCATCTGTAGCTATTTATATTTAAATTAATTAAAATTACATAGAAGTAAAAATGTAGTTCACGTTAGTCACATTAGCCACATTCAAGTGCTCAATAACCACATGTAGCTAGCGGCTACCACATTGGAGACAGCAGATACAGAACATTTTTTTTTTTTTTTTTAAAAAGATTTTGTTTATTTGACAGAGAGAGACACAGCGAGAGAGGGAACACAAGCAGGGGGAGTGGGAGAGGGAGAAGCAGGCTTCCAGCTGAGCAGGGAGCCCGATGCAGGGCTCGATCCCAGGACCCTGGGATCATGACCTGAGCCCAAGGCAAATGCTTAACGACTGAGCCACCCATGCACCTGATACAGAACTTTTTTATCAGTGTAGAATTTTAGTGCACTATGCTGCTTAGGGTAATCACT